GAGTAGATTTGACCATGAGTATTAATACTTTTACTCAAGTACTAGAGTTGAGTACTTTGTCCACCACTGCCTGTAAGTACTTCTAAGTACTTGTAACATCCTGGATGTACCTTGTAAGTAGCTGTAAGTACAGGTAAGTACTTTTAAGTACCTGTAAATGGACTGTACTTATGTAGAAACCTTCTATCCAACCAGGACACTCAAAGCTCTTCACACAACAATCTGTGTCCTCATTTATCCATTCACACAGCACTCTGTTAGATCTCTAAAGCTAACATGTACAATCATCTATGGAGACTAATCAGTGCCAATCATTCATAGACTGATGGGACACATCAGAGGCATTAGGGGTTAAGTGTCTTGCCCAAGGATACAACTGAGACAGCTGGAATGGGGGATCAAACCAGCAACCTACCGGTTCGAGGATGACTCCCCTAACCACTCTGCCACAGATGCTTCCCTGTAAGTACCTCTAAGTACAGGTACTTACCTGTACTTATAAGTACCTGTGTACATCAGAAATTACTTGGTAAGAACTGAGGTAGTTGTACTCGGTCTGAAAGTCAAACTAGTTTTAGTCTGTTTTAATGTTAAATTGCAGAAAAAGAAGAACTACAGAGCGTCCTGATATCCAGAGATAAATTAAAACACATCCATTAACTCTCAGTTTCTGTCACAATTTAGGATTTTCCCTTCCTGAAGCTTTAAAAAAGTTTAAATGCAAAAAGCTTTAAAATGTGTTGATTTCAACCAGGAGCAGGTCAGAATTTTAACAGTTAGATGTTGTTTGATGCCGACATAAAGAACAAAAAATCCTCCCATAGACACCCCTGATATTTAATGTTTGGATCTACAGCTCAGACTTACAGCAGAAAAATCAGCTTAACTGCTGGGTTTTTACATTTAACTGAAGACTTTTAACAGTTTTACAGAAAACCTGTTTTAAATGAAGATTTTCTTCTGACGTGATTAAAAGTATCTCCTCGTGTTTCCCCCCTGGTGTCGGCTGGGTTCTGCTCAGACAGACAGGATTGTGCAGGTAAAGGTGTGACGTGAAGTCAGAAACATTCATCATCTGTAAAAACCTGCAGCCTTCATGTGACAGAACGTCAGATTCAAAACATCCAGAAACATGCAAACAAATGATCAGAGATATAAACAGTGGCTGAACGCTAAAATCAGCAAAACAGTGGCTGAAAGCTAAAATCAGCAAAACAGTGGCTGAAAGCTAAAATCAGCAAAACAGTAACAGAAAGCTAAAATCAGCAAAACAGTAACTAAAAGCTAAAATCAGCAAAACAGTAACAGAAAGCTAAAATCAGCAAAACAGTAACTAAAAGCTAAAATCAGCAAAACAGTGACTAAAAGCTAAATTCAGCAAAACAGTAAGTAAAAGCTAAAATCAGCAAAACAGTAACAAACAGCTAAAATCAGCAAAACAGCAATAAACAACTAAAACCAACAAAACAGTAACTAAAACCTAAAATCAGCAAAACAGTAACTAAAAGCTAAAATCAGCAAAACAGTGGCTGAAAGCTAAAATCAACAAAACAGTAACTAAAAGCTAAAATCAGCAAAACAGTGGCTGAAAGCTAAAATCAACAAAACAGTAACTAAAAGCTAAAATCAGCAAAACAGTAACAG